AAGGCTTTCCAATCTCCACTTGTATAGTTCCTCCCCCACCCAACTTGACAGTAGACTTCGAAGTTGGATGGCCACGGGAATGAATAATAAATCTGTCAAAGACAAGTGGGATGTCACAGAAATCTGCCTTTCACCCATCATGAGGCTGGTGGTCACAGTGCCAGGAATTGAGAGCAATCTCCCTACATTGAGAAATCCATTTTTTTTCCCATTGGAGGAAAAATCACTCTGGCAAGCACTCTAAATAAAGGATTTTAGCTTCTGATTGGAATGGGAGTAATGAGAATAAAGTTAGCTGTGGAAAATGAAAGGACTATTTTCAAAAACAGGCCAGTGTTGTGCTACCTCAACATGCACTTTAAATACTCAGCTCCAGCACAGCATTGTCACAATGACAGAGAAAACACAGCCCCAAAACTTCACTAGGCCAGCAGATTTACTGCTAGGGAAGGAAGAGTTGTAGCCAATGCTTGTGTAATGTCCCTTAAATTTCAATCTAACCAGGGTGGTCATCTTTGCATTAGTAGCTGAGGCAAAAGGTGCACATTTCAGAATAATTACGCTGCACAAATGCTTTGTTTTTCCTCTCTCTCGAGCAGTGTTCTTTTCCTGGGATTTTCCAGGTTGCTCATACATTAGATATCAGTCATCTGGTTGATTCTCTGGAGTTTAGATTAAATTAAATTGAGTTTACAAGATCTCAAAAATTTTATAGAGCTCCCTTTTCTCAACATGAGGACAGTTATGAAAACCAACAAAGTGGACATGCAGCCATTTTCAGCAACATCATGGAGTTTGTGATTCAGAACATTGTCTATTAGTTTTCTATTATTAGCTCATCACCACACTAGACATTGCAGAACATGCACATGACATTCGTTCTTTGAGGGAATAACTTGTTTATTATTCATGTGTTTAATCATCAGATTTTTCTGAGTACCAGTTATGTGTCAAGCACCTTAATTCACGCTAGAGGTATTGCACAAAATAACACAGGTGTGATTTCTGCCTCCCAGAATCTTATATTCCAGCAAAGGTGACAGAAGAGTAAGCATTAAAATAGAGCTTGCCTCTCATAGAGAGAGCACAGTTTCATTATGTAATTAGCCTTGTCCAGTGTCCTGGGAGCGCATAGGAGCTTCATCCTGCAGGATTGAAAAGCATTATTACAGCTGATCAGCAGATGTTTATGGGGTTTTTTTATTACTTTTGTTTATTTTTCGTTTTTGCTTTTTTTTTTTTTTTGCAGAGCTGGGAGTTGAACCCATGGTGTGTATATGCTAAGCAAATTCTGCTCTCTCCCTCAATCTAGATTTTTTTTTCGAATATTAACTAAGACCCAGGCACTGAGATATCCAAGACACAGAAAAAGAAAGAGTTATACAGATAAAGGAGGCAAGGGTAGAAGAGTAGAAGTTTTAAGCAGAAGAAATAGCTTATATGGTTATCTGAAGGCACGCAATGAAGAACTAAGTTAGAAGGTGGAGAATTAGAGTCAGGAGGTGGGGAAGACACAAGAGGAAAAAGGCAAAGGGACTTGCAATTCATGCCACAAAGGACTGTCAGGATAGTAGGAAATCTTACACTGATTGTAAGGCAGAAATGACACAGTTACACTTGTGTAAAAGATTGTTTTGACTATTAGGTTGAGATTAGGTACAGAGGAGTATGACTGGAACACTAGCCTCTGCTTAGAAGCTATTATAAAAGGTCAAATTAAAATGATGATGATCACAACTGAAGAAGTGATCTTCACCGGACTGTACAAACTTGTGAGATGAACAGGAACTAGAAATCTCAGGACTTTGTCACAGCTTGAGTAATGACGGGTTAGATGTGTCAGAAAAGCGAAATGGAGGAGCCATTCTTGGCAAAATAGGCAGAAGATGGCACAATTTACAAGCCAGAATTTCCTGAGGCAGAAAACACAGAAGAAAGAGTAGGTAGGGGAGGAAAGCCAGAGTTCAGTTTTGGACATGTTGAGCATGATGTTCCTGGGAGGCATTTTGATGAATAAGTGTGAAGCCTGAGAGAGATACGTGATGGAGATTCAGAAATAGGACTTGTTAGCATATTGATCATACATTCTTCACTTGGTGATAGTGGAAGGAGAGTGTTCTATGGATTGCTGTAAGTAACAAGGAGTTGCTGAATCTCCTAGAATCTCAAATATCTGAACTTATTTTACATATATTTATTTAGGGTTTGAAAAAGAAAATAATGAAAATTTGCTTTAAAAGGTCTGGAACTCCGTGAATGTTAAAGACCCCTGGAGGAAAATGAAGTGATGACCTAGGTAAAAATTCCCAGGGAGCATGTGCTGAGAGTTCTGGGCCAGAACCCAAGAACCACGCCTCTACAGAAAAGGCAAAAGAAGGTTCTGAAAATGATCTTGAGTGTCCACTGGGGAGAGCATAAGAAAAAATAGCGTGGTCCACAGAGATAATCCCACTGAAGGCAAATAATGCAAGGAAAAGTGCCCATTCAATATTCTACAAGGAGGCCAAGGGTAATCTTAACAAAAGAGGCCATCTTTCCTTGGCAAGACTAAGAGATAAGTAAATGGAGATGGAAACTAGTTTTAGGAAACTCAAAAAGGAAGAAAGGAGAGTGTTGAGGAGGTAGCTAGAAAAGACCAGGAGTAAGTTGAATATTGATCCCACCCCAAAAGATAAGAGAGACTTGTGCAAGGAGTAAAACAATTTAAAGCACAAAGAGTCTTCAGTAGCAATTAACCAACCAAAAACACAGGAGGAGTTAAGTTAAAGGTGTCTATGGTGATCAGGACTGCTTTTAGGAAAAGGTCATGAATTGACTTGAGCTATGAATGAAGTGGGTGAGAATGAGCCAGTCACTGGAAGACATCTGAACAAAATTATACTAAACATTTCACCTACTCCCCTTTCACTTCCCTTTGTTATTCAAAGGATATTTTCTCAGCTAATATAATGTCTTCAGAATAGAAATTGCCTGTAACTCAGAGAGTGACTACCAGTATGAATGTATTAACAGTTACAACATCTATCGTCCAATTTTACAATTGCTACTTATATTCTTGGTCTTCACACATGAAACCAGCATATTTTGCGGGGGGTCACACTGCTCCTTTCCTCACTTGGAATCTTTAACACCAGATAGGGTGCTAAATCAGTGTAAGCTGGTGCTTCTATCACTTAGGTTTCAAACATCCTCCACATATATAAAAACACCCATAAATAAAAGTGCTAATGTCAAGAAGGAGAAAGATCCTTTAATCAACAAAGGAGCACAAGTATGTCTACATAGAGATCATTATAGGACTTATTGCATAATTAAACACTGTCTATTGAACTGAATTATGTTTTCTCCCGCCATTTCAAAAGATTATGAAAATGTTAATTTTCAAAGGTGCTGTTTATACGTTGAAGTTAAATAGTATTGTTTTAATGTTAGCCTATAAGTACACCAAGAGCAGAGCATAGCCAGTACTGTTACAAACTGTAGTACAATCCTAAAGATGCCAATGCTTAGACTTCCCAGAGAGACCTGAGTGGATGACTATTGCTTCTGTACCTATACCCTCTGTGAGTAGACCAGCAGCTATCACAGACTTAGTCATGTTTTTTCTTATTGTCATAAATGTGGGCCCGTGTTTCAAATAGTTCATTAGAAAAGAAACTTACCACTACTATGTTGACATTCTAAAAACCAACTGCAATTGTTAAAGAATTTCATTTTGCTAGCTTTAAATGAATATTCTCTCATTTTTCCCATCTCATGTCATCTGCCTCAAAGAAAATAAACATCTATCACCACAATATTTCTTGGTCTTTATGAAACTTGAGTTTCTATATTTTTGTCCTAGTTTCTCAAGGAGGCTAGGCTAATTTTAACACGCACACACACACACACACACACACACACACACACACTTTCAGGTTCTGACTCTGACATATCCTGGCATTTCTCCCCCCATCGCAGAGCCCAGGCACTCTTTGTGGGCACATCTCTCCCCAAATATATTATCTTGATCTCTGGTCATGGTCACTGTGTCAACTTAAGTTTTACTTTTCCAAGGATGTGTGTGATCTATGCTTGTTGTGATACAATTTATAACCTGCTGCCTCAACAAATATCAAGTTGGCCTTTGTAATTTTATAGTCAAAGATTTCGAATATGGGGATGCATTTTTGTGGAAATTGCATATTCCATTGTTGCCGCTCATATATCACAGCTTTATTTGCCGACAGCAAAGGCAAAGCCTCTGCTAATGACTTCAGACCTTTGCCACATACAGAGTGTTTATTTTCTAGGATTCTAAGTATCTTTCATTAGAATCACTAGGCCTGGTACTGAGGGACTTTTATGATGACCTTATGTGCAGTGAGTGAGAAATCTGAGGGTTACTGTCTCACTTCCCCTCAGGTTGGCTAGAGGCCTTGGTGAAAAACCCTTCTGATCTAAGGAAATGCCATTTTTAGCTTCCTAAATGAGAACACCTGATTACAACCTGTCACCTCTGTAAAACAAGACCAGCAGATTATTTTAATGATTACCTCTCTTTTTAAAACAAATAAGAATTGTCCTGATGGTTTGAAGGAAAGAAGATAAAACTGTCCTTTAAGCTCTCTGATGAACTCAGAGGCAATTGTCATAGATTTGGTAACATCACAAAGAGACTCCTTACCAGTGGCAATAGTTAGGATAGCCATTGACAAACTCTTGACTTAGAAGCACAGTTGTCTGATGAGCGCCTCAGGCCCCACTGAACTGAGTGATTTGAGGCTTCCTAGAAGTGTAGTGTGAAGGCAGGCTGCATTTTTAGAGTCTCCTCCCTGTTGCCCCTCTCCCTCACAAAAGGCCCTTGTTGAGAAGCCTCTGTGGGCTATGTCTACAAATCTATGTTTCCCCAAATGTCTCTGTTAGCACCAAAGCGCGGCAAGATTTGAGAGCCACAAGTCTAGCAGCTAGACCACTGAGACCTACTTAACTGACCGAATCTTTGTCTCTCCTGTGCCTAGGTGCAAGTGTAACCTCCACGCCACTGTGTGTGTATATGACAACAGCAAACTGACATGTGAATGTGAGCACAACACTACAGGTCCAGACTGTGGGAAATGCAAGAAGAACTATCAGGGTCGGCCATGGAGTCCAGGCTCGTATCTCCCCATCCCCAAAGGCACTGCAAATACCTGTGAGTAACTCTGCTCAGTGACACCATGTTCTGTGCATGATAAACTGCTATTTCCTCTCAATTTCCTGTGCATTTGTGATTTTGCCTCTCTTGCCAGTTGTCCCACTACTCTTCAAAATGCAGCTATAGTTGTTAGCCCTATTTTATCACTTGTACTTATGTTTTAGCACTCTGATCAACTGTTAAATTCAGTCTTCTAGCATTCATATCAACTGTGTTGAGAAATGATTCTTAAAGTCAGGGAAGCAGTGTTTTCTAAATGGATCAAACAGGAGATGCTTTTTCTCCTCTATCAAATTAATTTCCTATTAAAACAACAGAGATTAAAACTTCTCAATCCTAACTAAGCATAAACAACTTTCAGAAACTCTTCAAATGTTTATAACCCCATTTCTCATAATGAGTAACCTGAGAGAGGCTTTGTCCAGAAGAGGTTTCCCTCTCCTGATTGCAGCTAAGATCTAACATTGCCCAGGGAAATAATAGGCAAAATTTCAGGTAGTTGAGCCAACCTTGCCGTGGATACTGAGAGTAGAGGCCCACTTTAGGTAAAGAGCATGACAGCAGGCCTCTGGGTACCAGATTTAAAAATAAGTTTTCGTGTAAACATGAAAGACAACAGGGTTATATGTGTTCTCAGTAGTCATTCAAGATACCACCTTACTATGTGTGTGCCCTGCTGAAACTCATGAATATCCAAAGGAGATCAGACTCAAACATGCTCAAGGAGAAAAGTGATTATTTCCCAAATAATTTGCTCCCGTTCCATGGATACAATGATGAGCCACCTGCAAAAGCCTAAGGTTAGCCCTCTTTCAGAAACAGGAAAAGGACAAGGTTAGAAAATACCCACGCAGGGAGAAGTAATAAGAATAGCTATACAAAGAGCAGAGGACAATGAGAATCTGAAAAGCCACTGGCTCTGTGCAAGGCTAAGAATGTTATCAGGCACTTCAAAGCAGCAGCTGTGAGATGCCAAACCTAAAAACTAATATCACAAGAACCAGGACCTTATCAAGTGTAAGAGTAATGGACCAAGTAACAAGCCATAAATTGTGGGGTCATGAAATTATGATAAAATTTCTGTGAGGCAGAAAAAAAAATCCTTCGAAAGGTTAAAAAAATCTCTTTATAAAAGTGTCCAGTTTCTTTCTGTGTTAAAGAAAAAACCGTCTTCTTGCTTTTGAAATTACTACATTAAAGCTCTGTTGAGCAAAAATGTTGATTTTTGGAGATGATTTTTATTAATGGAGACTCTGTGGGATTTCCTCAATTGTTGAGAGCCACAGTTTCATGAATTGGGAAGGGATCTCATAAGGTTTTTTTGTTGTGATAGCCCGTGGCCAGCTACCTGAGAATCCCTATCACCACAGTTATCACATTTAAAGCTTTCCCAAAATGAAACTGACTCAGATTTCATTTTCACATCTACTGCATTATTATTATTATTATTATTATTATTATTATTATTTTGTACTGGGGGGATCAAACTCAGGACTTTGCGCTTGTGAGGCAGGTGGCAGTACCACTGAGCTAAATCCCCAGCCCTTTACTGCATTCTTCAGTGGGACAAGATAAAAGAGAATGTAGCTCACAAACACATTCATTCTGGCTCCTCCTCAGGGCAGGCTAATGTGCGAAGGCCCCTGGAGACTCAGCTAGGGTAGGTTGCTAGTAAAGTTATTGGCTGCTATTCTAACATGATCCTGTTCCTCTGCCCATGCCTGTCTTTCAAAGACTTTGTTTATTTCAAAACATTTTCACTGGGAACACATTCTCGTGTCAGTCAAAGCTTTCTCACAGAAATGAATTTCTTGCTGTATTCTCCATAGAAATTTACACACCACTAGCCTTTTGCATACTGAAGATCAGCAAGTCAGTCCCTGTCTGAAAGAATGCATCTTCTTTTGATTTCCATTATAGGTCCTAGTTGTTCATCCAACCCCTCATTTTTATTGACCTCTGCATTTCTTGGCTTTTCAACATCTCTGTTAAAGTAGGAGAAAACATGCGTATTTTTCTTAATATATATATACTTACATACATGTGCAGACATACATAGATACATATATCTTCACAGAGACGCAGGATATGTCATATTCAAATAAGAAACATCAGGCTGAAGCAGTGAAAAAGGGGGGAATATGATTCTTGGTCCTTCAACATCTGCCCTCAGTGTCTTAGAAATGCAATTTATTACTGGATGACCTCTAGATTTAGCAGACTCTCAAGAAGCCAGGAAAATGTTTGGGTAGGAAGGCAGTTTCTGTCCAACACCACAAGTGTAGGAAAGAAAAGAAGAGGTTTTCATTAAATCAGACAGTTGCAAGATTCTCCTCCAAAGACACGCAGCCTGCTGTTCAAGGATATCCCAGGCTGGGCCCTTGCTGAGAGTCACTGGACTGTGAAGGTCCAGCGTTCCAGGAGAGCTCAAGGCCTCTTCTTTATGGAGCACGTAGTGCTGAGGAAGAACAGTATGGAGCATCAACATTCTAAACTAGAGCCATCCCAGTCTGCAAGAGAGCCTAGGTTTCCTGTGTTTTTGCTACAATAAACTTGACCAAACCATGATTATAGGACCCAGTATGTTTTCTTGGTCTTTAAAACACATACACGTGTGCAAAAGAAATCTTTAAAAAATTTTTTTCTGGGCTGGGGATTTAGCTCAGGTTTCCACTGCCTGCCTCGCAAGCGCAAGGACCTGAGTTCGATCTCCAGTACCAAAATAAGAAAAAAATTTTCTCTGTACAGCCTGTTTTGTAGAAAAGACATCTTTCTTCTTTTCTTGATTGATTTTCATTATATTCTCAATATAATTTTATTTTGAATGTTATTTGTACTTTTTTTTGTTTTGTTTTTCAAGTAGATAGCAACTCCGTCCAATTTCATGTTTAATGGTGATTGTCTTTATTCCCATCACCCATCTCATGAATAAAAATGTTAATTAATGATCTTTAAACTTATCCCTGGGGAATAAAACATAACACTTGCTTACATATAGATGTTAAAACTTAATAATCATCCATTAGATACCATAACTTCATCAAAGATGATACAAAATATACACCTCTGCTTCTCTGTGTTCTATAACCCCTAAAAGAATTCTGTAGTTAAATAAAGTTTAGGAAATGCTGCGTACTATACTCAGTCTTACATATTCACATCACCTTATTAAAAACATCTAAGAAGTCCTACAGTAAAGTAACCTATTTTACCCGTCATTCTCCAAACTTCCTTGTTTTATGGAACACAATAAATTTCTGTGAACTACTGTTTTGGGGCCATGCTGGCCTAAACAATTTCTTGCAGCCTAGACATGAAGACACAAAAAGCCCAGATACTTCAGCTGTATTCAATCTTTTACTTTTCTCTTACCTAGACAGTCTAATATTCTTCAAAGAAAGAAAATTAAATTGGCCTGACATTGACATTATTTGTTTGTTCAGAAATCCAACTTGAATTGTTACACAGTATCTAGGGCTTCTCTGAGTGATGGAAAGTAATTTGATGATTGTTCTATTATTTTCTCTGATATTAAATTTGCATTGACTGATTTCTATTTTCCTGGTGTACACATGGGTATATCATTACCCAGACAATTTCCTCAATGTTTTATATGCATTTGTCCACTTCAAACTCACACAGTCTTATAAGGTAGATGTTGCAATTTTTATTTTGCAGACATGGAGTCTTATGATCACAGCGAGAAAGTGTCTTATTAAAGTTTTACACAGCCAATAAGAGTTAGAGGAGAGATTTGAACCAAGACTCCTAAGGCTTCACATTATACTGTGTTGCTTCTCAGGTTCAATTTGAGTAGCTTTCTCTGTCCTCCCAGTTTTGTTTTGACATCTGTTTGAACAAGTCATTTCCTAGATCTCTACTTATTTGTCTACCATTGAAAATCATCCCTTTATGTTCTTTCTTTCAATCTTCTTGTTTCCCACTCTTTCCTATTATCAATCTATAATTTTTCCCCTTGGCCTACCAATCTATCCCGTTATTTTAGTTTTTAGTATTAATTGTTAATCACCTTATTCTAGTTTCAATCTTTCTAGACTGACCAATTTTGCCAGCTCTCTGTAAAGAACTCAAAGTCAACAAGCTAGATACTAAATTCATTCCTTTTCCCCAAAGCACTTTTCTCTTCACTCTTTCTTAAAATTCTGCTAATTTTTCAAGACTACTGTCAATCCCACCTCCTCAGTGAAGCCCACCTAAACTCTCTTGTGCAAAATCAGTCACTAACCTCTCTAGTTTTTTTGAAAATGTGTCAGCTTACACATCTGGTTGACTATCTCTAACAAAATTATGATAATAATTAATAGCTACTATTTATTAAGCTTGTATCGTTTATGAGCTTTTGTACTTCTTAGTGTTTTATTCCTTAAATTCTCACAACATCCGCAGGTGTTGTGCATTATTATTATTATCCCAATTCTAAAAATAAAGAAACACAGGCACTAAAAGTTTAAGTTATCCTAACATCCCACAGCTAACGCATGACAGAGCAAGATTTAAACTCAGGTGCATCTGACTACAGGAGCTAGAACATCAGCAATTTAAGAGTAGGACAATATATCATCCTTGCTCTTTATAAAAGTGGGAAAGTTATTTTGGTGGCTGAATAAGTAAGTGCCCATGCATGCCTTGGCCTCCTGTCTGTGTTCCTCTTGCACCTACTAGACTCACAGCTCAGCGGTTTTAGCCCAGTAACCTTCAGATTCTCACTGGGAGAGAGCATTTGAGATATTGGAGGAAATACGATAGGGTCGGGACTCCCTGGCCATCTCTAGACTCACTGTCCATCCAGCCATCTCTACAAGGCTCATTGCATTTATTTTTTATTTTTTATTGTAATTTTTGGTACCAGGGATAGAACTCCGCTCTTTGTGCTTGCAAGGCAGGCGGCAGAACCACTGAGCTAAATCCCCAGCCCTAGGCTGACTGCTTTTCACCACACTCCTTTTGTAGCTTTTACATCCCGGGTGTCCTGTCCA